CCATTCAGCTGAGCTTCTAGAATAGTTTACAAAACCAAGACAAAATACAAAAAAAGTCATTGAAATGCTGGAACAGGGAGGGCTGTATCTTAGCAGCAGGTCCCCTTGTTCAGTGCCTGGAAAGACTCCAGTCTGGTACCTTGAAGAGCGGTTGCCAGTCAGATTGGACAGCCTACCTAGCACTGAGCTAAGTGGACCAATAGTGTAAAAGCAGCATCCTTTGTTCCTGCTTAAATAACAGGCGAAGCTAAAATACCCTTGCCTAGTGCCAGTAATATAACAGTGTTGCTGCCAGGTGTCGCTCGCCCCTTGACATGTTGTCCCCTTCTGAAAAAAGAGGAACTGCATCATTGTGTTCAGAAACACACTTCTGGTTAATCACTTCTTTGTCTGGCTAGAGTTGTAACGCTAGCAGGGTACCATGCAAGAGACACCTGCAGACTCAGTAAGCCTGAGCTGACGCTATTCTGTGATTTGGCAGATGGAGCTAAGGAAATGTGGGAGTGGAGGAAGACGTTGTTGGATGTCTTTGATGATGGAAGAATTTTCCATATCCCCCGATACTCGTCCTCCTTTCCTTCAACTCCCTTCATGCTCTGCCCACTGCTCAGCAGCCTTGTTATTCTTTCACACAGCATGAAAATATGCACAGAGGGCCTGTCTACACATGCATGACTGTCAGCTCAACTTTTCATCACTTCTTTATTCAGCATTTGGTGATTTGCACACAAACATGCAAACTGACTCCATTTTATGTGAGTTGAGGCCCATCTGCGGTTTTTGACCATCATATTTTGGATAGCATGGCACACATCTTAACTGGAAATTAATTACAGCAATAAACCCTTTGCTACAAAAGTGGTCACACCCAGTTGCTGAAAAAGAGATGGGACAGTTTTCTAGTTTCGTCAAAGTTACCAACAGACTACTGTTAAAACAGTTCTGGCATTTGCTATCCTAGCTTGGATTTGGGGGGTCATGGGCTGAAATGAACATTGCCAGCGAACTTGTTGCACCTCTGTATGCTTGCTGCTTCATTCCTGCAACATGCTAAATCCATACATTTGCTATTTGTGGCAATGTGTTACTTCTGTGCCTGAAGATGTTGGTTACACCCGTTCACCTTGCATTAGCTTTTTGCAAGTGTATCACTTAGTAAGCTCTGAATTCACACCAGATGGATGTGGTAGGTTGTATCTGCCCCCCCCGCCCACTCTTTTAAAGAAATATTCTTTTTGTAAAAGCAGCTTCATTTCACAGTCCTTGTCTTATTAAATTTGCGTTGGAGATGCATGATTTTTAAAGTGCAACTCAAGTTATTTTTAGATCTTGGAATTTGTTAAAAATGGGCTGTTGCTACACATCAGCCACAGCAAGGAGATACTGAAGAATCCAGTTTGATTATGTACACAGAGGAAGCTGCCTTATATTGATTCAGACCATTGGTCTATCTAGCTGAACACCAGCTGGCAGCAACCCTCACGTATTTTTTTATATATATGTATATAATTTTTATTTGGTTTTTGATAATTTTATACATATGAAACATAACCATTTCAAACATTAAAAATAAAAAGGTTCTTTCTAAGCTTCGGACCTCCTTCCCTCCCTCCATGGGTTCCATGTTTAAGTTTAAATTTGCTGCATCTTTTACCATTATCCAGGGATGCGGGTGGCGCTGTGGGTTAAACAACAGCCTAGGGCTTGCCAATCAGAAGGTTGACAGTTGAAATCCCCGCAACGGGGTGAACTCCCGTTGTTCGGTCCCAGCTCCTGCCAACCTAGAAGTTCAAAAGCACGTCAAAGTGCAAGTAGATAAATAGGTACCGCTCCAGCAGGAAGGTAAACAGCGTTTCTGTGCGCTGCTCTAGTTCACCAGAAGCAGCTTAGTCATGCTGGCCACATGACCCGGAAGCTGTACGCCGGCTCCACTGGCCAGTAAAGTGAGATGAGCGCAGCAACCCCAGAGTTGTCTGCGACTGGACCTAACGGTCAGGGGTCCCTTTACCTTTACCATTACCATTAATCCATCTATTATATTACCATCATTACCATAAATAATTCCACATTGCAAGTGTAATTACATCTCTGCCAAAGATTTTAACTGTTTACAACGGTCTTTTAAATAAATTACAAATTTACTCCAGTCTTTAGAAAACACTTGATCTTCCTGGTTTCGGATCTTCCCCATCAGTTTCTCCATCTCCGCATACTCCATCAGTGTCATCTGCCATTCTTCTTTGGTTGGTATTTCTCCTTCCACCCATCTCTGGGCTAGTAGCATTCTAGCCCTTGTGTATTTCAGGCAGGGGTCTTCCCAACCTTACCTGGAGACACCAGGCACAACTCAGCCTCAACAACACTGAGCTAGATGGACCCAATGTCTGACTAGGTATGAGGCAGCTTTCTGTGTTCCTGTGTTCCACCCATCAAAATTCCAAAGAAATTCTAAAACTGAACTGAGAAGGAGGCAGAAAAATGGAAGTATATTTCTCAGAAATGGGGTGTGTGTCTCATATTTCAGCAAAGCACTAATTTCATTCAGTAGCTTAAGAAATGTTGCTGCCATGGTAACCTCTTATCAGTTTATGATTGACTCCTTATACAGCAATCACATCCCTCTAGCATACAACAAAACAGAATTATATATGCCTCCCACAAAGGACTTCCTTAAGTCACTCATTCTCATACTATTTATCTCTGCCTCATAATTAATGTGCCCCTCATAATTGTTATATGCATGTGCACAACCCACCATTGTTTCTGTTTCATAAAGAATTAAAATGTTTTCAGTAGTCCCATTTTTCATTTTAAAGTCAATAATTACTCATTTGTTTCCCCAGAAATTATTATTTTATTCAATGAATCATTTTGCTTCACTATCAAGGTTGGAGTAATATTTAATAACAAAATGCATATAAAAATTATTCTGGAGTTATAAAGGGGTTTCTGAATCATGCTATTCATTATATTAATTAACCCTAAAGTGGGGGGGGGAATACTTACTAAAAACAGATATTTGAATTGTTGTTCTATTGATTCCTTCAGAGAGAGAAAACAGGAATATCATGTTCATTTGCTTTGATTTTGCCAAATCCCTAATCACAAGTTTAAAAGGTTACCCCCTGAAATATAAATGAATTATTTTAATATATTTCTTTTTAATTCTGAAATACAAACAAATGCTTTCTTTTCTTTCTAGAAAATCCTAAGCAATCAAGTCCCAGACAATCTCAGGATATTGAGGCAAGGATATGGAACTGCAGTCCCAGAGCCTTCTGCCCTGAGGCAACAGCCTCACCTTGCCTGATGGGCAGATAGGCACTGCATTCACCCCACAGGCTGGAGGTTCTGCACCCCAGTTCTAACTGGAGATGCACACTATGTTGTTCACAGCTTTGGGGGGCTTGGGCTAAAAAATGGCATATAAATGAGCCATACCATACCATATAGAAAGGCCTTAGAGGTTTGCAAGTGGCTACCAAGGCAAAGAGGTTCCCCATTCTAGGCCTTAGAAACAAGGGCACCTAGGCAGGGCTGAACGGTGGAGGAAATTGCCAGGCAGGGGCCTGCTTGACAAGATGAGATAGAAAAAATTGTTGAGCAAAGACAAGAAAACGAAAAAGTTTAATTTGTGGACCATTCCGCACGTTGTCGAAAGGGCTGAAAGTACAGCAGCTGCCCCCAATTGGACAGAGGTGCTCTAACTGTGGGTATAAAAGGGATACATCTGTTCGATTTCCTGTTATGAATCAGCCTTGGGATAGGGGGGGAAAACATCCATGCACAATGAGAGGTGACTTTTTTTTCACCTCAAACTCAGAACCATTTCTTTTTTCTGGGGTCAGAGAGCCTTCAGTTCAGCCTCTTTTGTTTTTATTTCTTTGTTTTTTAAGTAGAAGGAGGAAGAAAAAAGAAGAAGTAATAGTCTTTATTTTGTGTTCATTCTAAGGAAACTAAAATTAGAGGAGACTAAGTCTCCTGGTGTTTCTTGTGATGAGCGCTCATAGGAACATGCTGTGCTTTGTTCATAAGGTAGTTTATGATGTCTGAGACTGATCCTGCGGTATGTATATTTTGGTGGGAATTCAGTGGAGACAATGGAGAGGAGTGACATTGTATACAATTCTGCATTTGTGTGGAACGATACAGGTCACCTTTTAAAAAGTACACACAGAAAGACAGGAAGCTGTCTACGACTGTACTACCCTGAACACACCCAATCTCATCTGATCTCTGAAGCTAAGAAGAGTCAGGCCTGGTTAGTACCTAGATAGGAGAAAGACAGGAAACTGCCTCATACCATTGCTTTACCTAATTCAGTATAGCTAACACTGAGGGGGAGCAGCTTTCTGGGTCTCCAGAGTTTCAGATGGGGAACAATATCAGCCCTACCTGGAGATGCCAGGGATTGAACCTGGGTCCTTCTGCATGCAAAGCAGATGTTCTACCACTGAGCAGTGGCTTTTTCCCCAACACCCTGACAGCTTCCTTATTTTCACCATCTACCTGATTCCATGTTTATACAAAGATAACAGAGCTTGGGAAAATGTGATCAATCACTGCATTTCCTCAACTAAACTACTTGAGGGGGGCATAAAACATTTCTTTCCTGAGACTCAACTTTTAAATAAATTTGTGGGTGCCAGCACAGTATTGTGATCTGCTCCTGCTAACTAGATATTGGGCAGAGGAGTGGGATATGATTTTAGTTAATCAAGTGTCCTAGAACCTCTGGTGTACAACATCCTGATTTGGGGGGGGCATAGGTGGACTGTCATAAATCAAAGACAAATTTCAGCAAGACAAAAACATTCAGAGTGCCTGGGGCCTGGCCAGTGAGGTGTGTCATGGGCTCCTCAGACCAGTTTGTAGTTCCTGGATGCTCTCTATGGCAGAATGCATGATTCATAAAGTTCTTTCCACCGATCTTTTTCTTCTGCTTAACTGCAGTTTTCTGGAGAAAATGGTCCTTTGACAAATTTGCTTTTTCTTTGCAGAGAGACCCAGGATTTATGAAAAGGAGACAGATTTTTCTAAAATGGAGCTGGTCACAAAAGGAGGAGAGCAGAGCCTCCAGTGCACATCAAGTGGGAATCCTCTGCCCACCATACATTGGGAATGGGAGCCATGCAGTCATGAAGACAACCTGTAAGTTATCACTGTAATGTGCTGATCTGAATCAATAACCATTTGCCCACAAGTCATTTCCCTGAGTGTTAACATAGGGCTCTGCACTGAAGATGCCAGAAAACTGTGATATATGAAACATTATTCACCCAAGTCCTGGAAAGAGAGCTAAGGCTTGCTCTAATGCAACTAGAGGTTGCAGGACATTTATTTATGAAGGTGTTTCTTCAACTCTTAAGCTGTGGAAGAAAATTGGTAAAGACTGTGTGGGTCAAAAACAAGAAATGCCCTGCTCAGGCATCCATCTAGTCTGGCATCTGGCTTCCCCCACCAATCAGCCAGATATGACTGGCAAGCCAACAGGACCCTACACCACTGCACAAGCACCCTTACAGGTGGACAGATCTTTCTATTTTCTTTCCTAGTCAGTTTCACATGTGGTGGTCCATAGGTTTGTTTTAATCTGTTTTCTGGAAAACAGATTAAAATACACATTTCCACCTAGCATAAGAACATCAGAAGTGCCCTGCTGAATCGGGCCAAAGGCCATCTGGCCCAGCGCTCTATTTTCACAGCCAACTAGATGCCTGTTGGAAGCCTGCTAGCAACATCAACTCTGGTATTCAGAGACGTGCTGCCTCCTAAAATAGGCAGTTTTGTATGCATTTCCTTCTGAGGTATGCATTTTTTTGGCATACATTTTTTGAGCCCAGGACTGTGCTGCAACATTCTAAATAGTTTGCAATACAGTGGAGAGCTGCGTTGTGATCTGTGCATTAGTCCCTGGAATACAAGTCAAGTCAGTTCACATAACAAAAATCCCCAGCAATATTTCCCTATGGTTTGCATGCAGCATCTGAAATGTGGCACCGTATTTTTCGCTCTATAAGACGCACCAGACCACAAGACGCACCTAGTTTTTGGAGGAGGAAAACAAGAAAAAAAATATTCTGAATCTCAGAAGCCGGAACAGCAAGAGGGATCGCTGTGCAGTGAAAGCAGCAATCCCTCTTGCTGTTCTGGCTTCTGTGATAGCTGCGCAGCCTGCATTCGCTCCACAAGACGCACACACATTTCCCCTTACTTTTTAGGAGAGAAAAAGTAAGTCTTATAGAGCAAAAAATATGGTATATTGCTTCTGGGCATGGAAGTTCCATTTATTATCATGGCTAGTAGACACTCTCTTTCATGGATTTGTCTGAAATACTATCATAATTACTTGTGTCATCATCATCATCATCTTGAGATAGTTAACTTTTACCAACTAGAAGTTAAGGAAGGATAGAAAAGGAAGCGGCACCTCCAGCTCTGCCTGCATTTGATAATCACAGCCAGTAGTGTTTCCACCTACACACATTTTTTTGCAGCTTGGTGACATTAGAAAACCCCAGCTCTGAGCATCATCTGAGAAACCAAAATTGACAGATTTGCCTATTCATATTGGGAAGCTATAAGCCAAGGTGTTTTTTGCACAGGATCTATTTCCATATATCCCCACATCCATCCCAAAATTTAAATGACCCCTTTTCCAAGCATGCTCTTCCAGTTCCAGGATCCTCTACTTCCTTCCACTTGGAGGGAGGGATTGAGCGGCTGACTGCACCCGAGATAAAGAAGCCTGCACTGAAGATAAGTCACCTAGTAAGGACAGGCTTCACCTCCTTCCCCAGGAATCTTCATTGAGCTCTTAAGCTCCGCTCCTTGAACCTCAGGGTTTTTTTAAACGCTTCTCCTCTGACAGAACTGAGTATCAGTGAACATAAAACTATGAAGTTAATCTCAGTTTTGTAGCTTTGAAATAAGCTCCCCAATTGCCAAATTACCGGGAACTCCAAAGGCATAAGAACCCCCCCAAATAAACAGCTACAAAAAACACACACCCCACTGTGAAGTTTTGAAGTTTTCAGAGATTCCAACTGCAACAGCTGTTCAGAAGCAAATAAAGAGGCCCCTACAGAATGTCTGTTGTAGGGTCTTCAGGCCAGAACAAAAACCAAGCTGGTTTTGTAGATTCTGGCAGTCCAAGATGAGATGTTAAGGGGAAAAGAACAAATGGGCAAAACAACAGAAGCCCAATAATATTTTGATGGGTTTTATTAGGCAGGTGAGGAGATATAATTAACTATATTTTATCCCCCTACAGAGCCACATGTGTGGGTTAACAGACAGATAAAAGAATCAACTTATTGCTTGAGTTTTAAAATGTGGGGCTGAGCAGAGTTTAAATTCCATCTTAAGCAGGTTAAGTGAAAGCAAAGAAATTAGGTTTATCAAGGAAACAGGCTACAGACTGAAAAGTAAGTTTAAAACATATATTTTACTCACAGTCAAGCATTTGTCCTTAGCAGCAACAGCATTAAAAGTAAATGCAGGTTAAATACTCGTGTTTACAGCAAAAACAGCTTCTGCTTCTGGCAGGTGCCTGATGCTGGAGTGTTTAGAGGCACGCCCTTCTTTATGGCTGGTTGAAGAGAAAGAAAGAGAGAGAGAAGGCACCGGAAATACCGCATTTGCTTGAGTCTAATGCAGTGTTTCCCAACCTTTTTTGGGCAAAGGCACACTTGTTTGATGAAAAAAATATCGAGGCACACCACCATTACAGCCCCGTGACGTCAGCGCGCAGCGTCACGCCGGGAGGGACGCACGAGCTCCTTCTCCTGCTCGTTCAGGGCCGGGTTGCCGCCGTGAGGGAAGGGCGCCGGGGCGCTGCTGCTGCTGCTGCCACTGCCGCTCCCGGCAGGCATGGGCCCAGCTGAGGCGGCGGCGGCTGTTGTGGTGGTGGCGGCGATAGCGGGCGGAGGAGGGGGCGGCGGCGGGGCCGAGGTGGCCGGCGGCGGCGGGGGAGGCGGCGGCGGGTGGAGCAGGAGGGCGGCCGAGGCCGGTGAGGGAGTAGGGTTGCCCGGGGCTTGAGGAGCCGTCGCCGGGAGTTGCTGCTGCTGTTGTTGCTGCTACTGCCCGGACATGCCGGCCTCCTCCTCGTCCGCTGTCTCGCGCTCCTCCCTTTTGCGCGCGCTGCCCCGCCGCCGCCCCATTGGCCGGGTCCTGTCAGCTGATCCTGTGTTATTTCCTGTGTGTGTGTGTGAGGGGAGAATGGAGAGAGAAACCTCGGCACCACCACCGCGGAGCCGCCCCCAGCTCGACGCGGATCCTCGCCGCCGCCGCCCCGCCTCTCGCCGCCCGACTCGCCCGCCTCCCTCCCACGGCACACCAGGCAAGGTCTCGCGGCACACTAGTGTGCCGCGGAACACCGGTTGGGAAACACTGGTCTAATGCACCATCAAATCTAATACGCACCTCAATTTCCAGAACCTTGAAACCAAAAAAAGCATTTGCTGGTGAATGCAAATGTGCCAGCGAATCTAATTTACACCTTAATTTTCGCAACATAATTTGGCCAAAAATGCTGAGCATTAGATTCAAGTAAATATGGTATTTCTTTTGCTTCTTCCCTCGCAGGAGTGAAGGGGAATTGACATCACATTGAGTCTTCTCTACCACTTGCATTTCTATTGTCTGAGTCTGCCTATTGGCAGTACAGCTCTATGGCCTAATCCTTTCACATGCCAACTAGCAAGAAAATGCATTGTTAGATTTGACTGCATATCTCCCACAATTTTGAACACCGATATGATCACAGTGTTCTACATGTCTGTTAGTGACAGAACTGAGACAATACAATTGTCTTAAAATGAAACAATGATTCTTCCTATGAGTCTTAATCAGAGGTGGTTTTTGGGTGGTGCAACCGGTGCAGCCACATTGACGGCACACTGTAGGGGGCACAAAAACAATACTGTAAAATGAAGCAGGAGAGATGGGGGGCGCTGAATTTTTTGTGTTTTACAGGGCAGCGCTGAAATGTGAGAGCCCAAAGTCTGCCACTGGTCTTAATTCTGCTTCAGCTAGCTATAGAGAACACTATTCAGCACTTAACCCCTTGGTTAGTCCCCATTCTTCCTCACTCTCAATGCCCACCAACTCAGATGGCTTTAAAAGTGCATAAATTCATGAGTTGCTACTGGCCACAATGACAATGTTCAGCTTCTGCTGATAGAGGCTGAAATCTAGGAGGGGCAATCCTTTCAGCCTGAGAGCCACATTCCCCCATGAACAAAGAAAAATCATAATTGATGCAGGGAGAGGTCAAGGAAATGGAATAAACTGCCATGTGAATGCAGCCCAATTCCCTGGAGCATACCATACACAGCTCAGAATTGTGAGCTGGGCTGGTCTTGGTGGGTTGCAGCTGTGCAGGCCTGGCGCACCAGATCCCCATGCCTCTTCTGCATGCATGTGAAGGGCAGATTCTTATCCTTGACTTCACTCACTGTTCAAAACATATTGCCCGGCAGGCATAAGATACAGGAACCCCCTAATTGCCTTATTTCTCTGTGTGGGGTTAGAGGAGGGACAAAGAATCCCAGATCTACCAAACAGGAATTAAGTGAGTTAGGCATGAGGTGCTGCTCGGCGCAGTTTCTCTAAACAAACAGACAAGTTTCCTTTGTTCCTGTTGAAATGTTAGCAGAGCAACCCATGGAGAGATGCCTTGGTTCAGGCCTGAATGGGGAGCACTTCCCTTGGTGAGCACCAGGAGGGATGTCTGGGAGCCAAACCCAACATCTCCTCCTGCACTTTCACCCTTCTGTGCAGCAAGGAGGCTGGAGTCAGGTTTTCCACCCTTAAAAATAAAGGACAGATGGGGGAATATAAAGAGCCAAATGGGCCCCCTCTTGTCTCTTTTCTGATGTTTTTGTTGGGATGGGGAGGCTTACTGTCATTTGAAGAACACCCATGGAAAAAATATTTGAAGTTGAGATTGCAGCTTAATTTGTCCAAGGTCATGGCTGGTGATAGTTCGTTGGAGGAGCAGCCAGGAGAACCTCCTGGTGTGTGTGTGCGTGCGTGCGTGCGCATCAGTAATAAAACAGATTTATTGCAACCCATGACAGGATCTGATTTCCTCGCATTATTTCAATCTATGTTAGTAAGATGCCCCCTGGTTTGGGTAGGGATAAATAATAAAAAGAAAACAGAAATATGGAGAGTGGGGTGGAGTGTAAGGAAGTGTGACAAAATTCCAGTTTTCCCATGATAGACTGATGCTATCAGTCTATTTCTGATCAGTTTTGCATGTGTTCATACACAAGTACATCCCATCGAATTTGGGAATCAATCTGCATTTAAAAACAACTTGTGTATGTTTTCCTAAAATATGAATCTTTGTGTGCTTTTTGCCTTAAAGTAGGCATTTTTAATGTGAATTTTGGTATGCATTGAAAATATCAAAAATTACAGATGAAGAATTTTGCTAATATAGAACTTTACCTCTTGTTTCAACTGACCCTGCATACCAGAGGCATTGCCTGTTTTTGCCATAACTGGCAACTCAGCCTAAGGTCACATTCACACCATACCTTTAAAGCTCTATAATACCACTTTGTCTGGCTTCCTCCAGATAATTCTGGGAGCTGCAGTTTGTTAAGGGTGCTGAGAGTAGCTAGGAGATCTCCTATTTCCCTCGCAGAGCTATAATTCACAGAGTTTCCTGTGAAGGGGGGATTGTTAAACCACTCTGGGACTTGTTGCTCTGGGACAGGAATCAGGGTCTCCTAACAACTCTCAGCACCTTTAACAAACTCAGTTCCCAGAATTCTTTGTGAGAAGGCATGAGAATTATAGTGGAATCTTAATGCTTTAAACTTGTGTGAATGCTGGTTTTGCTTGGCATAAGCACTCCTTGTCACATGCCACTTGAGACCCCAGTGACAGGTTGGAATCCAATACAAATACACCTATTGAAATTAATGGTTGCAGTTTATTCATGCTCATTAATTTCATTAGGTCTCCTCTAAGTTAAGCTTCATTGACTACCACTGCAGGAGTACCCACAGACTACAAACCCATTCCCTCAGTGCAACCCCTCCCAGAACAGATCATCCACATAATTACGCAATATTGGAAGCTCCCACCCAAAGCACCTCCAGTTGTTACCAGCATTTAACCTTAGATTACTGACTCCCTTTCAGCCTTACTGCTTCAAGGCACTAGTACAACATCTGCACAGCATCTCGTCTGTTGTTATCAGTTAGGCTGACCAAGGCTGTTTCTGTGCTAAAACTGGACCTGAAACCAGATTGAAGTATGTCTAGATAATCCAGAACAAGTCAGGCATTCTTCCCATGGCAATGCATTAGCTAAAATGCCACATCGACACATTTTGCATGCAAATTGCCTTACAAGTAGGGATTTAAGCATCTTTACAGTCCAGTCCTCTTTAGGCTTACTCACATGTAAGGCCCACCCTGTTCAATGGACAAACAGGATTGCAGAGTAATATAATCTTGAGTGTTTCTGCTGACCTCAGGAGTGTAAACTAAGCCAAATAATGAAAATGCCCAGCTTGTGGTTCTATCACTTTAAACACAATGGCAAAGTGTGTTTGTATCTCCACTTGACCTCCAAAGTAGCCTTATCTTTCCTTACAGAAGCTGGAGGGGAAACCTCTTGTGAGAAAAACACCCCTTCCCTCATTTCCTGTTGCTATTTCATTTCCCCTAACCCCCACTCCCCACTGCTCCCATTTTTATTTTCTAATGTCCTGATTTTCTGACATTGTTCAATCTGCGTACAGAGAGTTCTGTCTCCTTTGCACTCATTGAGTGATATTGTGTCTGAAGGAAACTGCAAAAGCCACCAGGAAATTACAGGGGCCGAGGAAGCTGCTTTATACTAAGGCAGCCTCTTGGCCCATCTAGTTCAGTATTGTCTGCACTGATTGGTAGCAGCTGTCAGGGGACATCCCACCCTTCAGGGAGATGCCAGGAATTGAACCTGGCACCTTCTGTTTGCAAAACAGATGCTCCATTATTAAGTTGTGGCATAATTTCCTTAAATGGAAAGGTGTTTGTAGTGTAGCAAAATAATAATAATAATAAAATCACCTTATTTACCTGATATTGTTAAAATAATTAGCTGCCCCATTGTTTTTGTTCAAGGGCAGTTTTTAGTGCTGGTGAATAGGTATTCTATATTTATCTTTCTAATAATAACTGATTTTGTGTTTCATTTGTTTATTTTCAATGGCCTAGTCCCAAGGACTGTGTGGGCCTACCTCATCTTTGCCACTGTCATCAATACTGATTTTCTTGCCACCTCTCAAGAGCCACAGCTCAGTAGTTAAAGCATTTGCTTTGCATACAAAATGTCCCAATGTTCAATCCCCGACATCTCCAGGTAGGATAAAGATAGACCCTTGCCTAAGACCCTGGAGAGCTAGTGTCAGTCTGTGTAGGAAGTACTGATCTAGGTGGACCTATGACCTGAATTAGTATAAGACATCTGCTTGTTTGATCCTCCCTCTTGGCCCAGTCCATAGAACCACCCAGAGTAGTGTAAGACAAACTGGAAGCTCCTTGTTCTTTCCCTTTCTCTTATCACTGCTCACATCCTCAGAGAGGGCAGGTGATCATGCAGAGATAGCAAGGGGGGTGAGCCAGTCCAAGAGGACTCTGGAAAGGCCCCTCCCTGGGATGTGGTCCTTGGCAGATGCCCAATGATGCCAAACCTGTTTGGTACCCTGTTCTGGCAAAGGTGCAAGCAGTATGTAAAAAATACATAAGCTACTAACTAGGGTGCCTATGTTCTTCCTCCACCATTGGAAGCAGTCGTGCCTCTGTATAGCAGCTGCTGGAAACTGCAAGTGGGAAGAGTATTGTTGCACTCAATTCCTGCTTGTGGGCTTCTCATAAGCATATGGTTGTCACTGTAATAACAGGGTCTAGATTTCCTCCAGCAATGCTTAATTTGACCATCAAATTTAGCAATAATTCCATTTGTTTCATAGAACAATCTCCTTCCCTTCATCAAGCAGAAAACAATTCTTTGTAACTCTGAATTGTAACTCTGAATTCTTTGTAACTCTGAATCTTTAATTCCTTATTTCCCATATAGATTTTTTAAGGCTAGAAACACTCCCTTTTCAATACTTTCATTTCCCATGTGTATTTGCTGGAAATTAGCTAAACATTGGATTAAAAGAGTCTTTGCCCTATGTTTTTCCCATCCAGCGATGGTACCAGCACCTTACACAGATTTTTCAGTCTTCACCATTTCCAGAAGTCCTTCATCATCCAAATGCAACTAGATTATGTACAGCCAAGCATGGAAATCTCCTGATTGCAACGTTGGGATCAAGGCATGCCTGTTAACATTGGCCTGAGCCTTTGTTCTTTCATTCAGAAACCTTCTGTAGCTTTAGTAAGCTGGCTTTGGGCCCAGAACTTTCTGGAGTTTGGTAAATATATTGCAGCAGTGTACAGGAAAGAAATGGTCTGGTGAAACTGCTTGAAAGTGTAAAGAAAACGTAATGTTTATTACTCATGGCAAAGAAAGCCGTTCTAAGGATGGGTTTTACATGTGGCCAAAATGGAATCAGACGTGGACTAACTAAAGTGCAGCTGGCTTGAGCTAATTCACTAGGAGAAGAAGTCTCCTTTACCAACAGGTGGTTATTAAAAGAGAAGGAACCAGTGCCTTTCTGTCTATCATTCCCCCCCCCCCACTGGTTCAGGTAATTTATTGCAAGTATTATTGTTTTATTTCCAACACTGAGCTTTTGGCCTGATCCAACAGGGTTCTTCTTATGTACTTTATTCCAGGCTTTCCTAAATTGTGGCCCTCCAAATGTTAGGAGGTTCCACTTCCCACCACCCCTGAGAATTGCCTCTGCTGACTGGGACTGATGGGAGTTGGAGTCCAACAGCAACTGGAGGACCACAGGTTCCTCACTCCTACTTCAAACCCTAAGTCCATTTTCTTGGATGCCATGCTAGAAAAATGGCCATGTCTCAAGTCAGGTGCACAGATTTATGTGATTTGCCATTTCAGCTTATTCTTATTCTTATTCTTTTTCCTTTTCCTTTTTTTTAAATTTTCAGATGCAAGCAACGAGGGGAAAGGATCAAGGTGGAAGAAACCATTGGCCGTGAAATCACCTACCCAGCAAATAAAATCAAGTCCATTGAACCTAAGTACATAAGACATGGCAATAAATTAAAGGTACGGAGTATTGATTTCCTGCAGTTTCAGTGGCTTCACTCAAAAGCCCCCTTTCTCTCTTTGTGTTTTTTTTTAAATTAATTTTTGAATATAAAAACCAACATACGATCAGTTACAATTTCCCCCTGTTCACTCCCCATAACAACCACAACTACATCCAGTTGTGTTAGTAATGATAAAATAAAACATAGCCTCCTTTCTCAAACATCTCAAGCACTGATTTCCTTTTAGCGCTGAATTTTTGACGTGCTTGGAATTCTTCCACCCTGGGATCATGTTCAAATCTTCTCTGTTTATCGACTGTGGTGATGATGTCACTTGTCCCCCTTCCCTGGTTTTCATTTTATTTTTAAAGCTCTCAGAAATTGCACGACTCACTCAGAAAGCTTTTTGGTCTTGAGCCTGAGAAAGTGCAAGAAGCGCTTCCAGCCATGAGAACTCTCGCAAAGGGCACCCAGCTAATGAGATCCCTTATCTCATCCAAATGCTCAGCTGTCTTTCTTTTTTGCTCTCCACCATTCCAGCCACACTTGCTATTCACTCCATGGTTCCGACCCCAAACAAAGCAGAAATGCATGAAATTCCTACCTCACTTTCTCCTGTTTTGGAGAAATGCCCTTTTTCGGGGGGCCGTGGGGTTAGGACAATGTAGGCTGGTTTTCTGTAGTCTTCATCCATCTATCTATGTGCATTTATATCTATACAGTAATCAGTGCTTTTTTCTAGGGGAAAAATGGTGGTGGAGCTCACCATGAATACCTCCCTCATTCTTTTAGAATGGCAGTGGTGCCCATCTGAGAGGTGCTGGAACTGAATTCCAGCTGGGGGGAAAGCCCTTTCTATAGCTATGTTGCTGCCTGCCTGCCTGCCTTATACCTACCTGTCAGACCATTAATCCAGCTTGCTCAGTATTAGGGGGTGTTTTTCTTTTCTTTATATTTGTATCCTTATCTTGAAAATCAATAACATAAGATTTAAAAAATCCAGCTCAGTATTGTCTACACCAGCCTTCCTCAACCTAGTGTACTCCAGATGGTTTTTGAATTCCCATCAGTCTCTGCAGCCAGCATGGCCAGTGGTCAGGAATGATGAGAGCTGCAGTCCAACAACATCTGGCAGACAAGAGGTTGTGGAAGGCAGATCTGTGGTGAATGGCAGTGGGTCTCTAGAGGATTTAAGAAGGAGTTCCTCCCCATACCCCAGTCCTACCAGTCTCATAAAAGACTGTCTGGCACTAAACTTTCAGTTCCTTGCATCCACTGATGGGGGATGGAAAGGTGTCTGTGTGTGTGTGCAGGTAGGTAGAAACATCTGGCTCATATGGCTAGGATGTAGCCTACTGTACAAAGATAAGGGTGACATCAATTGTTGCAAACATTGCCTTTGGCCTTACCTATACGGCCTCTGAAAGGTACTCCAGAAAGAAATGTGGCCCTTGGGATGATAAACATTCCCCACCCCTGCCTAGACCACGATAAAAACTGTATGTGTGTGCACATGTGCGAATTGTACAGTATTGGTTTTCCTTTTGGTTCCTAACCTTTGTGGTAATTGTGCCTAAGACTCATAAAGCTAAACTATCTGAGGCTTGGATTTCAAGCATTTTCCCTGTGACGGCCCATTAGAGAAAAAACTCCTGTGCAAACACTTTAATGAAGTCCAAGGGTGTCTGCATTAAGCAAAACTTTCAGATAATGAATATAATTTTATAAACAACACACTGATGAAAACCCTATTGCCTCCAGCGTTCCCCCCACCCTCTTTTTATCAGTGCCAATTACCTCCAGAAATAGAACATTAAGGAAACAGACCAATTCATTTCCCACCATATACTAGCAAGTAATTTTATTGGTGCTTTGCAAGCCAGATAAAACAAAAATGCCAGAGACTCTGGTGGCCTGCCTTTAATTGACTGTGCTGTGATGCTGGCATGAGCTCAGATCTGATAATCTTTCCTATGTGCCTTGACTCTCTTGTACTGTATCAAGAGCCTCGCATCACAGACCTCACTGGAGAGACAAATTTCCTCAGCCTCCAGTGAATCACTTGCTGCCTACTTCCATTTTGGAGATTGAGAGGCCTGTGAGGATGCAGAAATTTCAGAAACAAACAAAAATGGTTATTAAAAAACCAAACCAAAACACACGGCTTGGAGATGCTTACCCGGCTCTGGTGGTGGTGGTGGTTGTGGTGATAAAATAGGCAAGGCACAGCATTCCCCGCCAGGTTCATATCTCCTATTTGTTTATTAAAATTGTGTGTTTTAATAACACTTCACAGTGTGACTACCTATCACATAAAACAGCTGACAAGCTACATTAAGTTTAGACCTTATTAAAAGACTTCACAATTTCAGGGCCTCGAAAGAGTCCTGCACTGTTGTTGTTTTTTGTCATTGCTCCCTTCCTGGGTCAGGAGTGAGTTACCGTATTTTTCGCTCTCTAAGACGCACCAGACCACAAGACGCACCTAGTTTTTGGAGGAGGAAAACAAGGGAAAAAATATTCTGAATCTCAGAAGCCAGAACAGCAAGAGGGATCACTGCGCAGTGAAAGCAGCGATCCCTCTTGCTGTTCTGGCTTCTGGGATACCTGTGCAGCCTTCATTCGCTCCATAAGACGCACACACATTTCCCCTTACTTTTTGGGAGGGGAAAAGTGAGTCTTATAGAGCAAAAAATACGGTATATGCATGCCTGACACCTTGCTTGGAAGCAGCAGACATCTCTTAAGTTCTGTCTCCAGTACAACCCAACCCTCATTCTCCATTATGTGTGGTCACCATGAAAGGCAAAGGAAATCTTCTCTGACTGATGAGCAGACATTTGAAGAGCCAGAAGGGTTGGATGAGAATGCAATTATTCTGAAGTTTAGATAACTAAGCAGTCAGATGTTGGCTTTGGTCTGATAAATAAATGCACCCACAAAGGGTCAAGACAGTATAATAAAGAATGAGACACTCACCCTCCATGGGGTTGCCTGTGGATGCAGGGACCTAAATAGCAACACCCAAAATTTATATGCATAATGTAGCTTGCTATACGTTGAGGCATTCATGTGGACTGCCCACATCACAAATTATTATTACATATTTATTTAATATCCTGCCATTTTCCCCCCAAAGGAGCCCAGGGAGGCAAACACATCAAATACATTTTTTTAAAATGCAGCGTTATAAAACAGTTAAAACATTCTAAAAACAGTTACAGTTTAAAACATTGTTTCATCTTCTCTCTCTCTCTCCCTTGGTGTGTGGACAAGATGGTACTGGGGCAGTTAGATAGCTTGTACTGAAACCAGCTAGGGGCTTTGAAAACAGCATTATAAACTTGACCCAGAAATGTATTGCAGGTGGCATATATAATACAAGTGTAAATGAAGCAGACCGTCATATTCCAATGATGGTGGTGGTGGCAGTAAAACTTCTTTCATTCCTGAAAGTTTCTAGTATGCTTCAGGCCCCCTTTGTAATCTTTAGAGGACATGCATCATCCTTAAGACTTGAGGTGAATTGTCTTCCGTGGCTTAATAGTGATTTCTTTTCTTGCAGTAACGTTAGCTTGTTGCCATGCACTTGGCAGATTTAGGGAGCCGCTGAACGACGCTAGTGTAAACCTGCCAATTCTGTCTTCCCATAACCATCTCTATCACAGCACTGTGACAGTATCCAACAGCTTGAACTGTTTCCCGCCCACTTTCCCCACACCTACTCACCCGCATTGCCTCGCTGCAAGGGAGAAAATAGAGGTGGGGGTGGGGACGAGACTATGGAACTGAAAAGTGTGGAGTCACACAAGCCCTGTCTATTTTTGCTGACTGCAGTTTCCTGTCTCTTAAGGCTTAATTGGAAGATCAATTTAAGAGCGTGCCCCTTCATCACTTTAGCCTTTGCAGAATAATCTTGCAAATAGTCCTGGAGACAAAGCTATTTCTTATTCACACATGATAGATGGCGTAGCCTTCCTTTGGGGCAAATAACCATGTCATGTATTCTGTTTTTCTTAGAGGCTCAAGGGTGTGCATTCTAGAATTTTAGAAGTAGAATACTTGATTCTGCAAAGAGGAGGTTACTACATGGTACTTGAATCTATCCAGTCTCAAAGCAGAGGGTTGTTCTTATGTGAATGTATATCCCACGGATACTTCCACAATTAGATTACTGAGGGCTTCTCCATGCTTGCCTTTCCTCCACTCTTTCTAAGCATGGTCTGTGATTTTAAGCTCAGTATCCAAGCTCCCCACCTCCCTTTTTTTTTGTTCTAGAGCTTTCCCCATGAAAACCTTCTTTGGTCATGTTGACTGCAGCTGGGATGGTTGGAATTCCAACAACATCAAGGGGACAGGGGCAGGCTCTCCATCCATGCCTTAATCTATAATTCAGGACCCCCAGTAATTATGATCAGCATAGCTCTGTCAGTGTCTGCCTGCCACAATGGCTATAGAGAGTCTTCATGCTTGGAGGCAGTCTTTCTCTGGGTGCAGTGTGCTGGGGTTACACAGCAGGGGAGAGGGAATGTCTTCCAAGCACTGCTTGTGGGCTTTCCGGAAGCAATGGCCTGTCCACTTCTGAAAACAAGAAGTGGGAAAGAAGAGGCTTTGGTTTGATCTTGCAGTGCTGGATTTATCTTTTTCAGCATTTATGTTTTGTTTGCTTGCCTTTATCCCACTCTTCTCGTTATTTGATCATCTTTCTCTGCACGTTTAAAAAACGTGTGCCTTAAAGTTGTTCCAAAGAGACAAGATTTGAAAGAAGAATCCCTTAATCCCCAACGGCAGTTCATAGCCAGACACAGACGGATTTCATGGAAGTGGGGCTTCTCCAACCCGAGGTGGTTTTTCTAAGCACCTAAAATAACAGCTGGGGTACATCTGTGCAAACATCTGCATTATGTAGTCATAGGCAGTTTATCGTTTGTGTTAGTGCAGGCCATATCTGGACTGAGGGGGCGTAGCCACACATTTTGACATTGCATTCAACCCTCTGAGCATATAAATGAGGCA